CTTGAGGACAGGGACACACTGCTCTGGGTTTTCTACCCAGAGCCCTCCTCAGTACCAGCTATCCCAAGGGTACCAGATAGCAGGGTTAGGCAGTAGAATATGAATCACTGCAAGCATGGGCTCTGGGGTCAGCCTGGTTGGGTTCAAATCCACATTTTATTTCTTACTGGCTTTGTAGCTTCATTCACATTAATAAGTTCTCACATTATAATTATTTTTGGGGGCACCTGGGTGGCTCAGTGGGTAAACCTCTGCCTTCGACTCGGGTCATAATCTCGAGGTCCTGGGATCAAGCCCTGCATCAGGCTCTCTGCTTAGTGGGGAGCTTGCTTCCCCCTCTCTCTCTGCCTGCCTACTTGTGATCTCTCTCTCTGTGTGTGTCAAATAAATCAATAAAAATGATTTTAAAAAATTATTATTTTTTAAGGGGCACCTGGGTGGCTCAGTTGGTTAAGCTCCTGACTCTTGATTTTGGCTCAGGTCATGATCTCAGTGTGGGAGAATAGAGCCCCAGGTAGGGCTCTGAGTGGGTCGTGGAGCCTGGAAGATGCCCTCTCTCTCTCTCTTCCTCTGCCCCTCCTCCGTGTGCACATGTGTGCACAAGGGCTCATGTATGAACGCTCTCTAAAAATTACACAATTTTTACTTCCATTTGGTTCCAAAAGATCAAGAGCTCCTACCTACTCACTGCTGTCAGGTTGGGGTTTGCACGCAGGGAGGGGAACAGAGAGGCAGAAGCGATTGCAGTTAAAGAGCATGGGATTTGCAGAAGTCTAACCCCCAGCTTCCCTCTGTATGGGCTGGGTGAATTTGTATAAACCCATGTCTTTGACACAGGGCCACATGGCAAGGATTTCCACGGCCTGGCTGTCACCGTTTCTCTCACCCAGTGCTCTCACCCCCAAAAGGACAAATCCCAGGTGGCCACCTGCTCCTGTAACAGGTGTGGAGGCGCCCACCAGAGCCAGAAGGACTGGAGAGCTACCCCAGCCATAGCTGGGGCTTCGAGAAATTAAAAGGAGCATGTTAATTAGAAAATGCTTAATTAGGAAACCAGTTCCCCAGAAAAAAGGGAATTAATTGAAAAATAGGCCTTAATCAAGAAGTTTTGGGCACACAATCCAGCACAGGGAGCTGGCTTGTACTGGCTTGTTTGAGACACTTGTGCATTTTTCAAACTTCACGTTCAGTGACATCGTGTTGGCAGCTTGAAATCACCCTGGTGGGAGAATTTACACCCTTACCATTGACAAAGGCTACAAACTTGGGACTTTTTTCTAGGAGCACTGTTGTTCACTATACAGTACCACACAACCACAGAAATATAACTCGTATTCCTACTCAGAGAGCCCACGTGTCTCTGGGTCTAGAAACTTGTGGAAGCATGGCCCTTGCAGTATCTCAATTTCTGCAAAGCTGATGTCTGCAACATAATTGGTACAAGATGAGTCACTGGGGAACATAAAGAAGATCTCACAGTTATTATTGAAATGTTTTTATGTAATACCTATTTTTTTCTGTTCTCAGCTTTTGTTTTATAATGTATAAAATATATTGATGGACCCCTATGTCTACACACTTCCTATACATTTGGGAGGTCATTAGTTTTTGTTTTTGTTTTTTTTTTTTAACTGATTTAAAGCAAAAACTGTGAAGACCATTGTGCCCGAGTAAAAGAAAACAGAACCGGTTCTAAGAAATTCAGACGGGATGATGTAGGAGTACTGTGTGTAACTTGGGGTGGTGGTGGTGGCATTAGAAGTTAGAGCTGAAGATAAAAAGTAGAAAAGGTGACCTCACTGCTGTTTGGGGTAGGATATGTTAATTAGCATGCAAGAAGGAAGGTGGGCCACCGCGGTGATCAAGGCGGTGAGACAGGCTGCTCTTGGATCTGGGAGGGGCGCCGTGCGGGAGGAGTGCACAACCAGGAAGAAGGACTGCTGGCCCCACCCCCAGAGACTGGGCTTCTGTGGGGCTGAGCGGGGCCTGAGAATGTGCATTTCTTCCAACTTTTCAGCCATATGATGCTACAGGATTAGGCTCACACTTGGAAAACAAGTGATTTAAAGAAGAATTTTATCTTCTGAAGATAAAGGGAATCTTGCTGATGACAATCCATGAGACTCAGAGGGCAGAACAGAAGCATTTGGAGTGGGGTGGGCAGGAAGGGTGGGAAATTGGTTCAGATGAAAGCCTTAAAGAAAGAAAATAAGCATTGACCTAGGGGCCTTGGACTTCTGATGCTGGTTCAGATAAGCAGCCATCTAAGCCACGTTAGCCGGGTGTGTTATCTCCTTGTCGGCAATAATCTTGATAGCAGATCGTTCTGGTGAGGTAGGAGGTGGTTTGGCTTGAAAGCCAAATTGAGCTCTGCAGGCCACACCTCAGTTGTGACCATTCTCCCCCATCTGGCAGAATTCTACAAGCTCTTGGTTATTCATTCCCCAGATCACGTGTCTCTTTTCTTTTGATGTCTTCTCAGACATTCTGGAAAGGTTGTTTTGATTCTATAAGGCCAAGGGAATGCGTGCCTGTTCTGAGCCACAGTCTGACTCTTCCACTCACCTTGCAGCCCCAGAGGAGGCACGGTGTACCCCGCTGCTTTTAAAGGAGCATCACGCATCTGTGTTTACCACTTGACCTGTTTTTCCAAGGGATTAGGCTCTGGATATCAACCCGTGTGAGACCAGGTGGGGCCTTAATGATTCAGTAGTTCCCATTTGTACTGAGACTTCGATCTTATCTTCCCTCCCGCCATGACAATCACCCACGTCCACAATGTTTTGCACCTCATAGTATATGTTTGTAAACATTCAGTCTAAGCATGCCCGAGTGTCCCATCATGTTTCTGAAGTGTTGCCTAGGAGCACACGAATCTGGGTATGTGAATTAACACTGTCATCGCGACGCTGTCCAGGCATTGGCCGCCCGCCAACACTTGTTACTGCTTCCGCGTGTGTCTTTGTATCATTTAGATGTATCTCCTTGCTGTGAGATTAGATAGCCTTGCTTCAACCACACAACTACCTTTTTCCTTTTCAACCTCATACAAACGGCTATCCTCTAAATCTACTTTTGCTGGTCTCTGCCCACCATTCCCACGTAGAGTCTCCTTTGTATTTTATGTTATGTTTGTTTGGGTCTAAGGCTTTCTACTTAGATTGTGAACTCCTTGAATAAACTTTTCTTTTTTGTATCCACCATAATGCCTAGCAGAGCAGTTTTGCAAAGGAAGTGCTCAATATTTGTTGATTGATTGACATGAAGAAATGTGTTAGGGCTGCTAGATTTGTTATGACGGAGAATTAGGCAGCCTTAGCTCAGACTAGGAACTGCCTATCCAGTATGAGGAATTTGGCTAAATACTGAAATCTCCTTTAGTTATTATGACATTTTAAATTAATCATATATTTCCAACTGTATTTTTCAGTTTTATGCATAGTTATTATTATGCTAAATGGTGTTTATAGTTAAATGTGTGGTAGTTAATATAAGCGACTGAGATTAGGAATGTTTTGCAGCCAAACCAAATTCATTTTTAATTGTTCTCTTCTCCCAGCCTTCCTACTGGCAATCCCTCTGATGCAGGGCGCAGTTGAATTCTAATCACCCTATATCATGTTTAGGTAGGTTAAAAGATGGGGACCCCAGAGTTCAATCCTAAATAGGTGGGGGCCTCCTTGTAAGGGGTCTGGCCTCCCTCCCTCCCCAGCACCGGCTTGTTGTCCTTGTCCTTGGGCTTCCCCATCCTGCCTGTGCCTCCCACCTGATGTCCCAGCTATCCTGTCCCAGCCGTACCTGAATGTTTCCTGTCCTTCAATTTTGACATTTTACTATGAATTTTGAATTTATACAGAAGTAGAAAGATAATACTTAATACCCATACTCTTACCACCTATATTTAACAGTCAACATTGTGTACCTTTTTAAAAATTATTTTTTCAGGATTTAAGAATCATGGACATTACATTTCACACTTAAAACCTTCAGCAAAAAACTCTAAAAAATCTTCCTATGTCACCAAATGTCATTATCACCTGTATTACTTTGTTAGGGCTCATAAAACACCTAACAGGTACCATGACTGGGTAGCTTAAACAACAGAAATTTATTTTCTCATGGCTTTGGAGGCTAGAAGTCCAAGATCAAGGTGGAGGAAGGTTTGGTTTCTTTTGAGGCTTCTCTCCCTTGGCTTGGACGAGATGATTTAAAAGAATATAGTGGGGCGCCTGGGTGGCTCAGTGGGTTAAAGCCTCTGCCTTCGGCTCAGGTCATGATCCCAGGGTCCTGGGATCGAGCCCTCATTGGGCTCTCTGCTCAGCAGGGAGCCTGCTTCCTCCTCTCTCTCTGCCTGCTTTTCTGCCTACTTGTGATCTCTGTCTGTCAAATAAATAAATAAAATCTTAAAAAAAAAAGAATATATATATTTCAGTAAATATATGATTTAAAAGACTATATTATATATATTGACTACAGAATTCATTCATTTAAGAATATATATATTCATATATTATGTATATACATAAATCATGTATTGATTTAAAATCAATTATATTGATAGTTCAAATTCAAATTTAATATTACAGGGCTTTATTTAATTATTTGAATTTATACTTCTATTTTCTCTATGCTGAAAACTTGGTTTCTAACAATATTAATATAGTTACTTATTTATTATGTTGTTTTTTCAAAGTAATAAGAAAACTGAATGACCAGAATATATTTATTTATCCTAGAATATATCCTACCAAGGAGATACAAAGTACTAAGTTTTAAACTCAGTTAACTATTTTCTCTGCATGGTTCTGCTATTAATTTTTAATGCAAATAGGTTAATTTTTTTCTTTTTTTTTCCTTCTATTTTAGGGATGGTCTTTTGTTTTTATTTGTACATAATATATGTTAGGGCCAATTTAATGTTAAAACCTGTTTAACTATTAGGGCCTGCTTAGCCAGAGCAACTCCATATTGCCTAGGTAGCCTTATTGTTGTTTACATCCATGGACTTCATTCCGGGAATAAACGACCCCGTCATTCCTGGTATGGTTCCGGGTATCGATTCCAGGAGTAAACGCCTTAACAATAGAAGCCACGTACCTTGGGTCTGCGGTTATGCCCTATAAAAGCAGCCTGTGAGATGGGGAGGGGGTCGCTCTCTTCGGAGGCGGCCCTGGCCGGTCAGTCTGACTTCTAATGCTTGGCATAGAATAAGGCTTTGCATAACTTTCACTTTGTCTCAGTCTCGTCCCTTTGATCATGGACCCCAACAATATACATATTTTTAGATATGTAAAACATTTACATCCTAGAAGTTAAAAGCTATACCCCAAGAAGTTTCTCTCCCATCCCAGCCCCCTCCCCCTCCACTCCCTCTTCTGCCATCTGTTAAACTAATTTAAAAAACTGAATTCTGATTAATTCTTGCAGGATTTCTTATTAGAAACAGGCAAAATTGTGCTCATATTCGTATTCGCCTTTACCCTTTCCCATGAGGGTCGCATGTTATACACACTTTTTGGACCACACCTTTTCATTTTGTAAGTCTGGAGATCACTCCATGTTAATATATGGAGATTACCTTCATTCTTTCCATGGTGGCCTAGTTGTGCATCACATGAAGGTGCCAGAATTTATTCAGTAAGGGACTGAGTGTCGTAGTTTATTCAACTAGACTCTTGTGGACATTTGAGCCATTTCATGCTTCTCTGCAAGTACACGTAATACCTCAGTGAATAACATTGTGCATATGGCATTTCGTATTTGTGAAGTTATATCCTTAGAATAGATTTCCAGAAGGGGAATTCCTGGGTCAAAGGCTAAACACAGCTGTGACCTTGAATGATACTGAGGAATTCTCCTCCAAAGGAAAGATATCATTTCGTATTCCCAGCAACATTCTGTGGAAGTCCTCACTTCCCCTCAGCCTCCCTGGTAAAAGTGTATTGTTACAATTTGGACTTCACCCAGTCCAGTGGGGGAAGGAAAGACATGGTATCACAGTGTAGTTTATTTTATTTTTATTTTGAGAGAGTGGGGGGGGTTGTGCATGGAGCACACAAGGGGGTGAGGGTTAGAGGGAGAGGGAGAGAGAGAATCTCAAGTTGACTCCCTGCTGAGCACAGAGCCCCACGGGGGGCTGGATCTCAGGACCTGACCTGAAATCAAGAGTTGGGCACACTGACTAAGTCACCCAGGCACACCTCACAGTGTAGTTTTAATGCACATCTTTCCCTTTACAACTGGAGTTGAGGCATTTTCCATATGTTTAAGGAACATTTGTTATTTCTTTTTCTATAAACCATCGGTTCGTGTATTTTGGCATGTTCGGGGTTGTTGGTCTTTTTCTTTTTTGATTTCTGGAAACTCTTTACGTTAAGGAGATGAATCATTTGGCTGTGAAATAAGTTCCAAATATTTATTCCTACTCTGTCATTTGTCTTTTTCACCTTTATGATTTTTTTTAACGTAAAAGCCCTTTAAAAAAATTATGTATTCAAATTCCTCACCAAACTGTATTTATTGATTCTAGATTTTGAATCATAGTTAAAAAGGTTGACTTCACTTCCAGGTTTTAAAGGAATTCACCCATGTTTTCTTTTAGTATTTGTATGGTTTAATTTAAAAGTATGTTTGAATAGCTGACTCATTTAGGAAAGTTTTTTTGTCTGTGGCTTTGCACATTTCTTGTTAGATTTGTTAAATTTATTCCCAAGTATCTCTTCTTTCTTTCTTTCTTTCTTTCTTTCTTTCTTTCTTTCTTTCTTTCTTCCTTCCTTCCTTCCTTCCTTCCTTCCTTCCTTCCTTCCTTTCTTTCTTTCCTTCCTTCCTTCCTTCCTTCCTTCCTGCTGCTGTTGTGAATGAGGGTTCTCTTCCAAATATCTTCTTAACTGGTTGATGATTGTATATAGGAAGACTACTTGTTTATTTATATTGATTTTATATTTTACCAATTTAACAAGGATAACTATAGTCTTTATATCTTTATTTCTAATCCTTATGTCTCTAACTGTTCCTCTTATTTAATCAAATTGGCTAATACTTCTTTAAAAAAAAGATTTATTTTATTTATTTGCCAGAGAGAGAAAGAGAGAGCATAAGCAGGGAGATTGGCAGGCAGATGAAGAAGCAAGTTCCCTGGGGAGTAGGAATGTGATGCAGGACTTGGTCTCAGGCCCCGGGATAATGACCTGAGCTGAAGGCAGACGCTTAACCGCTTAACCGACTGATGAGCTACCCAGGCGCCCGTGGCTAATACCTCTGATAAGTGGTTAACTAGTTGCAGAAATAGTAAATACCTTGTCTTATTCCTGACTTGAGTGGGACTACCTCTAGTGTCTTCCCATCAAAAAAGATATCGGCTTTGGGGCTGGTGTGTGTGTGTGTGTGTGTGTGTGTGTGTGTGTAATTACATTAAAGAATTTACTGATTTTTATTTTGCTGACTTTTTTTTTCTTTTTAAATCAGTCACAGGATTGAATTTTCATTTCAGCATCGAAGGAAATGACCATTTGCTTTTTCTATGTAGATATAGTACTTAATGTGAATGAATTTTGGGTATGGAATCATCCTTACAGTCATGGAATAGACTGTACCTGGTCCTGTGTATTTTGCTTAACATGCTACTGGCATTTGTGGGACAACTTTTATTTAGAATTTTCCCTTCATTATTTATAAGAGATCAGGATCTGATTTTCTTTTATCTTGTGCAATCCTAATTGTATATCAATTTGAAATGCATTTCATAAAACTATTTTGGAAGTTTTCTTTTGTGTTGTCTGTCTACATATTTTAAGTAACATTGAAATGATCTGCTTTCTAGAGACTTGTTGTCGTCCCCTGTGAAACCTTTTCAGTGGAGGAGGGAGAGAGCTTGATGGTTGGGAACTTCTTTGAGTGCTATGTTTTCTTGTACTTCTATTCCCCATCCTAGTTGTCTGGGATGCTGAGGGCTCCAGGCAACAGGAAGTAGGAAGTAGGTCTCCAGGGGTAGAGGATACCTTTCTTAAGGCAGATGGAGCCTGGGGGTGGATTGATAGTATAATCACCTCTAGGATGGAGCAGGGACAAGAGGGGAGTGATGTCGGTGGGTGGGTGGGCTGTGAATTAGATGCTGGAAAGACCCAAGCTGTGGAGAGATGAGCTGCTTCTTCCCAAAGATTTTTCTTCTGACTCCGCATTCCAACCTCTCCTGGGGGGGTCTCTGTCCTATTTTCACAGCTGAGAAGGCAAAGGAAATTTCCCACCGTTCACTGAACTCCTTGGCAGCCTCTGTGGGTGAGGTCCTCAGAGTCACCTCACCTGAGGGAGCTTAGACTAACAGTCAGCAATCCCGCCCTCAAACTCTCCTCATTTGCATTTGTCCTGAGCCAAAAAGCCCTGGGGCTCGCAGACTTATTAAAAATCCAGAGGTCATAGACATTCCTTTCATGTTGAATCTTTGATTTTCTGAGGCAGCTCTCGCCACGAGGGCTCTGGATCAACCACTCCACTGTTCAGGTAGCTCTGCTGTGAGGTGGCTTTTCAATGGCAGATGGCGGAGGGGGGTAGGCCCTTCCAGGTGCCCTGAGTGTCCACGCCCCCATCTTTCCCCTGCTTCCTGTGTCCCTGCTTCCTCAGCCTCTGCACACCTGCAGGGGGCAGGGGGTCTCTGCCCACATCCCATCCACAGTGCAGCTTACCAGGAGGTGCTGGTCTGTGAGGTAGAGAGTGGGAGCACTTGGCTGAAAACGTACCCCCTTCTGTAGGATGTCGCACTTGATTAGAGACAGGGAAAGGGAGGGAGAGGAAAGCTGTGCTATCCCTGGAGCTTTCCGACACTTCTGAGCGGGAAGGGAAAAGGTGGAGACCTCTGGAGACGCTGAAGCTCAAAGACACCACTGAGAGACTGACTGTTCTGCACCCCAGGTCCCGTGTCTGGTGTACAAGTGGCGGGCCTTGTGGAAGGTGGGACCACTGTCAGCCCCCTGTGCCCAGTGCTGTGATCCTGCCAGACTGCAGGCTTCTAGCTGGAGCAGGTGTGGCTGGCAGTGGGCTAGGGCATGCTCTACGTTCTAGGCCAGCACTTCCTCCCCCTTTAGATGCGAATGGAGTTCCTTACTCAGCACCTGTACACCTGCCTCAGGGCTGACCAAGCTTGTCCAGCCCGCAACTGTCAAAGTCAGGGGAGAAAAAATGTAGAACTTTAGGTTTTAGAACTTTCGGGTAGAGACATGAGTTTTAAAACTTTTGGGTAGAGATGTGAGTTAGCACTGGAATGCCCACAGAAGTGCACACTGCGCTGCAGAACTGTGCTGTGGGGACTGGGGTGGCCCTAGGGCCTCTTGGCCCAGACCTGTTTCTCATCCCTGGTCGGCTCTGCTCTGGCTGGGGCCGCTGCCTAGTGAGTGGCCGTACCGGCTATGTTTCCAGGTGGAGTCCCGGGAAGAGGCTCCTGGAGGGACTCTTCTGTCATTCACATTCCTCCAAGGCCTTCTCACAGTCTGGCTGGTACAGTGGCCACCTCTCTGCAGGCGTATTTTATCCTCCTATTTGTAGATTGTTTGCATATGACAGAAGGAAGAGGTTAGGGAAAGCCCTGGCCTTGGGATCCAGAGACCAGGACTTTATTCCCGCCCAAATGCATGACAGAGGTAGAAGAGGGATGGTCTCCTCCCACTTTCCTCTTACTTCTTTAATTAATATTATTATCAATACTCTTACTGATGTAGTGAACCCTTCTTATGTTCCGGGTGCTGTATTAAACAGTTTACCAAACAAAATCTTTTCCTGAATCTTCATAAACCTACAAGGTGGGAGCGAGGGGTGGGCACTATTGTTCTTGTTTACAGAGGAGGAAACTGAGGCTTAAGGAGATTGAGCAATTTTCTAAAGGTCATCAAACCAAACTGAATTTGGACCTATACATTTTTTTCACCTCAGTCTATTAATCATCGCCCTCAAATATCTCTGGAAAGCACCATTTATCAAAATGTACTTGACCATGTTTCTCTTCAGACTGATTGCTTGGAAACAAATAGAGAAATTCTTTAACCGTTTTTTATTTAACTTAGCCTATGATTCTTGGGATTTCTGTTATATAAGACAGGTCCTGCCTTGTGCCTTTCACCCACCTGACGTAATGTGGGCTAAAATTTGTTATAGCCCAAACCCCCGAGCCCCCCTCTTTGTGCTCTATATCCACTAACTGCTCTCAGCTCTCCCACCCCTGGCTCCACTGCCTGGACAGCCAGTTTTGGAAACACTCTGCCTGTTCAAGCTGTGCACCCTCCCTGGGACATACATAAGGTGACAGCTTCTCCAATGCGGGCCCTGTGACTACATTCTCTTGATGTGAGCCTTGAGAGACAGGTTGAATTAGGGCAGAGAGAGGTCAATGAGGCATATGTTGTCTAAGAGGCTGGAGGTGGCCTGGTGGGAGGTGCACGGTCATGATGTCCATTTGGGAATGGGCAGAACCCAGGGAGGAGAGGAAACTGGTGTGAGATGGAGCATCCTGCAGGGGAGAGGGGAGGAGGAGGCCAAGAGCCTGGATAGCTGGGAAAGCTCAGGGTGCTTGCCTGGAATGGAGGGGCAGAAGAGCAGGCTTCAGATATTCCCCTGGTAGAGCAGCAAAAGAAACATGCCCAGAGTAACAGACACAAGCCCTAGATGCAGGAGAAGAGAGACCCTCCACCTCCTTTCCCCAGAGTGCAGCTTCACTAGAGGGCAAGCTTTGACCATCTGAAGGCAGGGTCCATGATTATTCACCCTCGTCTCCCTAGAGCCTCGTGCAGAGCCTGGTGTTTTGTAGGCCCTTGGGACTTTCAGATAAATGCAGGAACAGACAGAGGGTGGGAAGGAAGAAGGATGGGTCAATGATAGGACTTGATCATGAGCTGGGGACTCCAGACAAGCATCAGCCAACCCCTTTCCAGGGTCAGGTAACTGGGACTCACCCTTCTCTGCATTGCTGATTTTCATGGGGGTCATCAGTCTCAAGAAAACTCACTCATCTGGTCTCTTCTGATGTTACTGGGTTAGAGAAACTAAGCCAGAGTTCAACAAAGTCTCCATCCAGATAAACAAGACAGAAGACATCCGAGTCAAGAAGAGGACTTCATTCAAAGGAAAGTTGCCCTGGTGTCCAAGACTTTTTGTCCTGCCTACATCTTGGCTCTGAAGTAGGTGCCTCTGGTTCATGGTTCATTAGATTTCAAGCACAGGTCCTGTATAAATGTGCAGACTCGGGTTTCTCTTATGGGTGCACATTCCTTAGTTGGATGAAGCCAGGATTTGCTGCTTCTTCAGAATCTTGGGCATTCCCCAGATACACAGAGCCCTTGAGCCCCTGATAAAGACAAAGACTGATACAAAACTGGCACATTAAGACAGAACTTAAAAACAGTAGCTTGACTATAACCCAAAGATAGTGGTAACCTAAAGACCAGTGGGCCTCTAACCACATTTTTGTTTATTTTTTAGTGTGTTTCCTTCATGGTCTTTCTTGTGGCTTGCCCTATGCAGTTTGTGTACTTGTTGAGGGCCTTTTTTCTTTTTTTTTTTTTTCAGTCTCTGACATTGTTTTTGCTGAACTCAGTTTTTCCGAGACCCTCTCTCCTCATAGGCTCAGTTTTGGCCTGCCATCTGCATTCTGCCAGTTTCCGTGGCAGAAGAGGCCTAGGCTGCTTCCTGTGTGTCCCCCATTGAGCAGAAGCATGCGGTGGTACCTTCTCCTGATCTGGGCCCAGGGCCTGAGGCAGGCTCCCCTCCCAGCCTCAGGTAAGGCCTAACAATGTGGCTTGGAACTGGAGGAAGAGGAGGAGGAAAGAGAGGCTGGGAGTGGAAGTGGAAGTAAGAGTGAGGGAAAGAAATGCATGGTTTTCAGAGTCCTGTGTTCCCTCATGTGAGAAAAGGCAGCCTCTGGGAAGGAGGCGCAGTTCTGTTTTGGGTGGCAGATGAAGTCCTTGGGGTTGGTGTGTCTGACTGGCCAACCAAAGAGAGGAAATAGGGGGAAAGAAAAGGACATGGAGGAGGGATGATCAGTTCCCTCGTAGAAGTTCACTCCTGCCCCATGTTCTGTCTTCTGTCCTTGAGGAAACTTCTAGAAAAGTGTTGTATGTTTTCTGGGGTTCAAAAATGTCTTCTTCACAGACTCCAGAGATTCTACCATTATAGATTGAATTTGCATTAGATCTGTTTCCCTCTGTATTTCAAACCATAGACAAGTGTTTCTGAGGGGGCACAGATGCTGAGAAACTCTAGTAGAATTTAATTTTTATGTTGTTTTTTGAACCATTTGAGGGTGGAGCTGTGTCCAAGGTGCTGGGGGTGGTCAGTGCTGAGGAGGGTGGTTTTGTCTGGGAGAAATGGTTTCTCTCCCATCCTCCTTTCCTTCGGATTTTGTGGCTTTCCTGAAGGTTTCTCCAGGCACCCCAAAGGGCCGTCAACCAAACAGCCAGGTTTCATGTCAAAGGATACTGTGCCCAGCATAGAGCTGGCGGCTGGAAGAGAGAGTAAAACAGAGGTGGTGGCTGACCAGGCTTATATTCGAGGTAGGGAGATGAAATAAGGCTGTGGAAATCCTCCACGAGCTCATCATGAAGCTAGATTACAGCAGAAGATCCCTAGTGGGGGAAGCACTCCACTGTGTAGCGATTATGGTCTATGCGGGGAGTGACAGGAAGGACAGGGGAGTCTGTCATTTCTAAAACCAATTCTAGCCTCAAAGCCCTCTGGGATTTCTGTGGGAAGTTTCAAGTACAGCTGTTGACCCAGGACCCACACACGCTCTCTCCCCTTCCCCAGGAGCTGTGTCAGGCAGGATCACAACAACGGGGAACGTTTCTGCCGAGGAAGGTGGCTCCGTCACCTTGCAATGCCACCTCCCCTCCACCACTGCCAAAGTGACTCAGATCAACTGGGAGCAGCGGGACCAACTACTGGCGGTTCGTCATGCTCACTTGGGGTGGCACATCTACCCAGCCTTCAGGGAGCGAGTGGCCCCAGGCCCCAACCTGGGCCTCACCCTGCAGTCGCTGACCCGGAATGACACAGGGGAATACTTCTGCACCTATCACACCTACCCTGATGGGATTTACAGAGGGACAGTCTTTCTGGAGGTCCTGCAAAGCTCAGGTATGCCCTCTGGAGCAGGGGGGCTGATGAGCCTCACCCTCCAGAATAGAAAATGTGTTCCTGCCAAACACTCTGTAAGGACAGGGTCCCTCGACCTCGGCTTACAAGCAGATCGCCAGGGAGCTTTAATGATGCTGATGCTGGTGCCCCATTGCAGACCAGCTGAAGCAGAATCCGAAGGGGTAAAGTTGGGAGGTGATCGGTTCCGAAAGCCTGGTGATTCAGATGTACAGCCAGAACCGAGAACCCCTGTTGTGGGTAAGAAGTGCACCTTATGTGTGTTTTTTGGGAAGAACAGTCATTAAGGTCATTTGGGAAGGGTTTTCCTTTATTAGTTTAGCATCAATCACGCAAATTAAAATTAGCTTCTAAGTTTTATAGAGGATTAAAACACAGTGTGTGCTAAGTGTAAATGTACGGTAATTTACGTTTGTGTGGTATTTCATAGTTTCCAGAAGGCTCTCACATTCGCTATCCGTCTGAACACTGAAAGTGGGTCTCTGGAACATGGGGAAAGATGACTGCCTCTGAGAGACAGTGGAACGGAGTGCTTACGAGCTCGGGCTCTGACCCAGCCAGCCTGGGTCCAAATCCTAGTGCTGCTGTTGACCTCAGACAAGATTACTTAGCTTCTCTGTGTATCAGTTTTCTCATCTGCAACATGAAAACAGATGTAGGATTGAATTCCTTACTATAAGAAAATGCCCTTAAACGGGGCCCGGGGCACAGTAGGCACCAACGAAGTGTTAGCTCTGAATGCCAGCCTCTCCCATGGGACTGTCTGGCGGAGGGGAAGTCTGAGCTCTACTCAGGGTAGGAGGGCTGGTTTTCACACAGGTGATCTGGTTTCACTAACCTATACCTGCTGAACTTCTACCTGCTGCTGTCAGTTGTGCTGAAGATTAAGTTTTATGACTTAGCGAAAAATGTGTAGACAGAGAAGATAAAAGTCTACTTGACAGTTTCTTTTCAAATGCTACTTCTTGGATGGCTCTGACACAGTTCAAGGCAGCATGCAGGGAAGAGCCTGTATCCTTTCTGGTACTGTGGACAGCCTACCCCAGCCCTTCTGCCCTCAAAGCTGTGTTCTCCATGACCACTTTGCTCCCTATCTGCCTTCTTCCCCCAACCTGTGGCCAAAGCAAGAGTCTGAGTCTGCAGGGCAGGAGGAACTCATTCTGGGGTGCTGGGGCTCCCTCCCCCTCATGCCCTGTGGGTACTGTGAACACTGCTTGTCCTAAGTGACTGTGTTCTTTGGCCACCTTTCCCACAGTGTAAACCCTTTGTTAGAAGGAAGAGGGCCCAGCCTCTGTTGGCCCTTTCTTTCAAGGCTTCCCTGGACACCTGGGATCTGTCTGAGCTCCTGGAAAGTGGCGGGGAAGGGACACAGCATCCTGGAAACCCTCCCACCAGCCGGCGTAGCTCACATCTGCGCATCTGTCCTGTTTCTCTCACACTCTCCTTGGATCAATTATCCCACTTCTCTTCATAACTCGCTTTCTGCTTCTCCTCCTTACATTTTACATCTTAATAGAAGTTCACTTGTTCGTGCTTTAGTTCATACTGCAAATATTTACCAAGCACCTGCTGTGTGCCAGGTGCTGAGAAAAAGCAAAGGATAAAGCTCTGGAACTTTACTCCTGCCAGGGTCTCCCGGCTGGAATAACGTGATAGGCTTAGTGCGTGAAAGGTTATTTGCTTTTTGCCCTCTTTTTTGTACTTCAGTATTAATTTTATTTTAATTTTTAATTAAACTTTTTTCAAGTAGGATTATAAATATGAAATTTAATAAAAGAAAATGTTCACTGTCTGGGTCTTTTTTTTCCTGGATGTTATTGTTTGTTTCACTTCATGATCATGATCATTATAGAAAGCGATTTTATCGACTGGAGGGAAAGAGTGTTCACAGTGGTCTGCTCTGGTGTCAAACGGGTTGAGGGTACCACTGTTTGGGAGATCGGCTGTTGATTGCACGACGGGCTAGGCCGCGGCTCTGCTGTCCAAGAGCTGGGCTTAAAGGCCCCAGAACTTAGAGAAAGGCCTGGCCAGCCCCCACCTCTGTGCCCTGACACAGAGTTTTTCCTGTGTAATGGTTGCCTTTTGCTTCTGCCTTTCACCGCCTCATCTTCATTTTGTCGTCCCTCCAGGGGCTGAGCACAGCGCTGTGTTCCAGGTCCCATTGCTGGGAGCCATGGCCACCGGACTGGCAGTTATCTGCGTGGCAGTCGTCATGGTGGTCGCATTAACCAAAAAGGTAATGACTCCAGCTGCACATCTCGGTCGTGGGCACCCCCTACCCCCACCCCTCACCATCCTTTCATGTCCCGGTCCTGTCCACAGAAAGACCAAGATGTGGTCTCCTCTGCTGTTCATGCTTTTTGATGGTCCTTGCTCTGCCTTTCAGTCAAGTTGTTTACACTCTTCTTCTGTCCCCTTCCTGGTCTGGGAACCCCAGCCAGAACGGCTAGACCTGTATGCTTCCCATCTTGCTGTCACCTACAGTTCCTAGCCCCTGCCTGTCCCTGAAGCCACTCCCTGGAGAGACAGATTTATCTGTCGTGAGTTTGATGCATCTGGGGCATCCACCCTGTGCTAGGGAGTTGCGTCCGTTAGCTTACTTAATTTTAGCAACCTTTCCTTATTGCTGGGCTACCCGGCACTTCGGCAAGATGAGAAATAAACAATACCCAAATTTGGGAGTGAAAGGTACACGACAAGATCAGTAGGTATGTGAATCTAGCTGAAGAGGTCACGCGGCCAAAAGTGTGCTGGATGGGGGAGTGGCTGGGGTAGTTTCTAAGGGCAGCACTGAGTGTGATTACAGGCAAGATGCTGGATCTCCCCCGCCCCCCATGCCTCAGATGGAACACGGGGATGCTGGCCATTCTGCTTGCTCCCTTCCACAGAGCTGTGATGAACAAGGGGTACATTGCCTGTGAAGGTATTAATGTGCTTGTGTTGTTAACGGGTAGCCACCGATTGGGGAAAAGCATTTCCACCACTTGTTTGGTCTGCCCTTTTGGATTTTTTAACACATCCCAGGTCACCTTAATTCCAGTCACCAAACATTTTGGGGAGGGCAAGACTGGGATTGCCTACATTATTTTCCACCTCATCCTAGACCCTCCTCCCTACTTCCCGATTCACTTTCCCCCCCAACAGGTTCTGCTCAATTAACAACCCAACTCTTCGTCCCTGACTTTGCTCTCTCTGGACCATGTACTTGCTGTTGGTATTACTGATGTAAGTGGGTTTATGGCCACCACCTTGTTTTCTTCATATTTGTTTTGCCTGTTTTCCCCCTTTTTTTTCTTGCTGTCCTTTGAATTAAGTACTTATTATTATAAAAAAGATCTACCTTGTAATGAGGCGTTTTTTTAGCAGTTACACTTGAGATTAGAAAATAGACTCCTGACTTATTAAAGTCTAGTATAAATTAGTGCCTTTATCCTTTCTTGGATTATGTAAGAATCGTAGGACACGTTAACTGTTTTTACCTTCCTTCGTAACTTATTGCTATTAACGCCATGTATTTTAGTTTTAAGTTTCTTTTAAATCCTGAAAGAAATTAGTCTTGAGAGTCAATTTTCACTTAGATTTGCCCTTTCTGTTGCTCTTCACTTCTCCCTGCATTTCCTATCTTGTAACTGGAATCACTTTCCTTCTGCCTGGAGAATACTAATTAGTATCTCCTTCTGAGCAGGTGATGAATTATCCTGGTTTTTGTTTGTCTGAAAATATCTTTATTTTTCCTAAACTTAAATGTGATGTATCTGCTTTGCTGGGTCTACACTTCCATGCTGGCAAGTGTTTTCTTTCCGCACATGGAGAACATTTTCCCGTCGTCTCCGGCTTCTTATATTTCTGTTGAGAAATTATGTGAATCTTATTTTTGCTCCTTTGCAGATATGGCTTTTTCTTATGGTTCTTTTAAAATTTCCTTTCTCTTTGATTTTCAGCAACTGCACACTGATATACTTAGAAATGGCAGGGAACATATCGTGCTCTCAAGGTGGGTAGGTTAAGGATAGCTTGAAACAGACGTTTACAAAGGACTGGGCAGCATATAAGGAAACCAAGAGGGGAAGTGTAGCAACATGTCGGTGTCACCCCTCATCTTTAGGGAGAGGATGATTACTAGAACTTGGAAAGAGATTTGTGGACGGGACCACATTGAGAAGTACTGTAGCTTTGAGGAAAGGCTACAGCTAGTCCAAGGCCACCGCTGGCAGAGAGAATGCCAGGGAAATACATACAATCCTCATCTCACTCTCCTTCCTTCCATTCCCCTACTGTTGCTCTGTATTGGCTGAAATGAAACACAATCGGGATGGAAGAAAACAGAAGGTTGGATGGAGAGTGGAGCTTAGGGGTTAACAGAGATGGTATCCACACCAGTTCTGCTCACAGACCCGGAAACTGGGCAAGAGGTCTTGACTTTCCAGGGGGTACTGAACTCAGCCTTCTCTCATGTACTCTTGATCTCTTGATTACGTATATAAGTAACATCCTGTTGGCTTTCCATCTATATTTCTCTTAGGAACACTGCTTTGTTAGCCCATCTTAACATCCCTGTGGGTCAAGCTTCTCTGGCTGCCACTGCAGAAATTATATTGACCTTGTCAATATAAGCTTAAGCTCTGCCATCTGCCCCTGTATTATTTTGGGGTCTCCTCATCCGTGTTGCTACCAGGGATCCCGTTCTATGAGAGCCTTCAGCCCCAGCGTACAGAGCAGATACCACGGAGCCTCCTAATGATGCTGGGGCTCTCTTCACTAGCACATTCCTTTCCACCTTTGTGAAAGATTGTCCTCTTGATCTTCCCTAGAACCATAACCAGCCACTGGATTCTCCAAAATTGTGTAGTACAGGGATTGGCTAAGTTTCTCTGTAAAGGGCCAGGTAGTAAATCTTTCAGGCTTTGTGGGCTATGTGGTCTCTGTTGCAACAGTTCAACTATGCCACTGTAGCATGAAAGCACCACAGACAATATGCAAATGAATGAGTATGGCTGGGTTCCAACAAACTTTTATTTATAAAAACTGAAATTTGAATTTCATATAATTTTCATGTGTCATGAAATATTATTCTTCTTTTGAATTTGTTTTCAACCACTTAAAAATAGAAAAATCCTTTTTAGCTCACGGGCAGTACAAAAATCTGTGGTGGGCCAGATTTGAGCCATGGGCCTTAGTTTGCCAGTCCCCGATTTAGTAGGTTATATTGGGGAAAACTCTGTTTTTTTCCTCTTCTCTACTCTTAACACTGTACAGAACACTTCTAAACACCAGATGGGTGGGTTTATTCCCACACTGACCAATTCTTCTACACCATCTGGGTGTCCTACAATCAATTCAGTTCTGACACTGTCTACTTGGAATCAACATCAGAACCCACAAATTAAGGACTCAGTCCTACAAGATCGCCCTCCCTTCAGACACCAGCTGCAAGTCCCAGATTGTCACCTGTACTTCTGACTGACCGGCTATAAATTGAATTTCCTACAGCCCCCCTCCTTGGGTTTGATAAGTTGCTGACAGCTCAGAGAACTCAAAGGAACCCTTACTTACATTTGCTGGTTTATTATATAACACAGAAGACAATAAAGGATACAGATGAACAGCCAGATGAAGGAGGTATGGCAGGATGAGGTCTAGAAGGGTCTGAAGCACAGGAGCTTCTGTCCCTGGAGAGTTGGGGGTGTGCTACCCTCCTGGCATGTGGATGTTTTTAGCAATCTGGAAGCTATTTGAACCCCATACTTGGGAAGGATGTTTCTGGAGACATCATCGCTTAAGGATGATTGATTATGAACTCATTTTTCAGCCCCTCTCCTCTCTCTGGAGAAAGGGGATGGGGTGAGGCTGAGAGTTCTAAGTTTCAAATCATGGCTTGGTCTTTCGGGCCACTGACCTCCATCCAGGAGCCCACCCAACGCTGCCTCATTGGAGCAAAAGACACTCCTATCACCAGGAGATTCCAAGAACTTTAGGAGCCCTGTGTAAGACATTCTTATCGTTCAGGAAATTATAAGGGTTTAAGGAGCATGGTGTCAGGAACCAGGGTTAAAGACAAACATTAGTAGAAACTGAGGGGGAGACATATATATGTATATTTTTTATGGTTTCACATACGTTTATGATAGCATCCCCACTTCTCTGAGCATTTTGTGTGTGTGTTTTTTTTTTCCCCATAAATTGCCAAAGCAGTGTTACCTTCCCTCTTGACAGCAGTGTATCAGCCTTCTCTTCTGGGGCCCTTGTGAGGGTGTTACATCTTAAGTCATGAGATGGATCCCAATATTGACAAGTTACCTTCAGTCTGATCTCATAGTCTACTTGCCCCAGCCCAGACTTTCACTCTCAGGATTCACTCCCAGTCATGTTCCCCCATCGTTGCCAGTACATGTTAGCCACATCCTTTAGGCACAACCTCTCTCCTCCCTCAGCATTCTCAGCATTTCCTCAGCTAGGGCAGGCTGTGGTCTTGCCCTAAATATGGGGCCAATGGCCTATAGGGCAGATGGAGACAGGTGCTAACGGGGCCCTAACTTCCATCAAGAGAATGTGGGCCATTTTTGCAGCTCCAGATGATACAAGGGAAGCAGGTGGTTCTCCAGTGCATCTACCCAGGGAGCCTCCTCCCAGGTCATAGTGATCTTTCCTTTTCTAGACACAGGAGACTTGCCCAAGCTTAGAATCCAACCTGTTTGGAAGTTCTATCTCTTTTACAGTTAGGTCCTGTGCCTGGTCTTCAGTGCTGGAGATGGGTGTTTCTTGAAAGGCTGTCAAGTGTTGCTGCTTCCAGGTGTTGACTGATCTAAGCCTTTCATGTTCTCTCCTCAGTGTATCAGGGGGAATTGAGTAAAAGCTACTCAATCCCACAGTTCTAATAATCACTCTTTTCCCATACTTCTCAAATGTCAAAGATGTGGCATCAGCTCAGAATTCCCTTCCATCAGTGTCCCGTCCCATCTCACAGCCAGTGGTGGGGTTCGTATTCCCATCTAGCTGGGGAGGTGTTCCTCTCCACATTCCCATCCTGTGTCTGTTTCTAGGTCCATTGCCAGGAGCAATTGTGTTAGACCCAGTCCCCAGAAATAGAGCCTGACATGTGAATTCTGGTGACAGTGATTTATTGGGATGGACTCTCACGTGAAGGGTAGTGAAGGAAGCAGGACACGGCTGAGGGAAGAAAGCCCAGCTTGATGTGGTCTCAGCTGGAGACTTGGTTGCCGTAAGAATTGTACTCAGAGTTGGTTGGACCTTGAGGCAGGAAGCTGACTCTTTGAACACTCACCTCAGTCATCACTGACCACTGGCTGCTCACCAGAGAGGGTCCAAGAGCCATTCTCCGGAGAAGGAGTGGCTGTGAGCCACCCACCATCTGTAGTCCCAGGGTCTGGGGCATGGGAGCACTGGTCAGGTAGGGAGGATCTGAGCAGGGTACCAACAGCCTGTTGATTGCATTATTTAGGAGCATGGACTTGGGAATCAGACAGACATAGCTTTGGATCCTGGCTCTCCTGCATGAGTTGCTGTGGTAGGGTCTGTAAAATGCGTATAATTATGATGCTGCCTACATAGGGTTGTGGGAAAACTCAAGTCAAATAATTCATGTAAGGCATTTGGCATTTTTCCTGGCATGTAGCAATAAGTATTAGTTGTGAAGTTCTTGTAATTATTACAAATTTTGTTTACCAAAGCACTTCATAATACTTGGTACTCCAAAATATTGAGACTGTATGGATTGATAACAACGAAATAAATGCATATTTTTGCTAAGCAGCTATTGGAGAAAGTTCCTCTAGGGGACCTCCTGTGAGGGGAAGGAGAAATGGGTGTGTCCCCTTCCATCACAATGACTGCCAGGCATCCTTCCTCCTCACATTCTCCCGGGGCGGGGGTGGGGGGGGTGGGGGGGTGGGGGGGTGGCGATGTTTATCCTCCAAGGACCCAGCTGCAATCTCCGTAGCTCCCTTTGGTCCTTTAGGACAACCTCAGCCCCAGGCTTGTGTTTTATACTGACAATCACAGAGTTCCCTGCGTGGGAGGAAATGAAAACCAAAGAGCTGAGAGACCCTCTCAGGACTGTTTACATTTCCCAGAAGACCCTGGATGCCAAAATGGTTTTAAGATCCCGGGACAAGGGTGGCCCACCTAAGAATGGAAATGAGAGCATACCATCACCAAAGGTCACAATCAGTTCTTTGGGAAGGAATTGGGTATTTATATTCTTTTTTTTTTTTTTTTTAAAGATTTTTTATTTATTTATTTGACAGAGAGAGATCACAAGTAGACAGAGAGGCAGGCAGAGAGAGAGAGAGAGAGGGAAGCAGGCTCCCTGCTGAGCAGAGAGCCCGATGCAGGACTCGATCCCAGAACCCTGAGATCATGACCTGAGCCGAAGGCAGCGGCTTAACCCACTGAGCCACCCAGGCGCCCCAAGGGTATTTATATTCTTTAAATGGATTGGGCCACATCACGGGATGTGGTCCTCTTTTAAGTCCAGCACCAGCACGACCCATGATGACCACGATTATTCCTCACACGTCCGGGAAGGAACCCGCCATAGTAGCGAAAAGGAATGAACGAATCAGTGAGTGGAGAGAGACCCCCTGACTCCTGCCTGTGGTTTTGAGACCATGGTCTCTCTCTAGGCCTGGTTCCTCAGGGCCTGAAGGGTGGTGCCAGCCCTAAGTTTTGATATTTGTTCATGATGTGAGTTCATGCGGCCCACCCACGCTTCCTGTTAGCTTATCTCGTGCACTGCTGAGCTGGACACTAGTCAGCAATGATGATGTTTCCTATCCTGGGAAGCAATGGGGGAGGTGGGGCAGTGGGAAGAATGAGATTTGGTTTGTGCTTGCTGTGATTTTTCCAAGCCCACGTGTGGCTTTTGGGGGATTCTGTCATCGAGACCTATGGTGGGGGTGAGTGCCACATTGAGAGCGGTCTCCAGTAAGACCGAGAGTGTGTCACCTTTGCGTTGGGTGTCATTAGGCATTTCTTCTGCCATCCTGCTTGTACCTACTGGTCTTTGATTTCCTTGCTTAGCACAACATTCCTCTGCGATGGTCTCCTATGGGGGTAATGGCTGATTTCATTCCCTTTATTTTCCCAAACAGATTTTGCTGTCTGACCTATTTTCCCATAAGAGCAATTGTAGTTATCTGACCGCAAGTCCCTACTTGGGTTTGGAAATCCTGTTCTTTGAGGTACAGGGCTGAGGAAGAATGTGTGCATGTGCATGTGTGTGTGTGTATGTGCACACACACGTGAGTATACACACACACATTTCAGTCCTAAGACACACATTGAATGTCTATGATGGGCTGTGAGGTTACAAAGAGGAATACAGCACAGATCCTACCCTCAGGGAGCTCACAGTTTGGGGCCTGAAGAGGAGAGAGGGGTAAGAGTAAGTTCTAGACAGCATTGCATATTACAACAGAGAATGTTCAAGAACATATTCTAGCATCCAGGAAGAATGTCAGTCTCCCAGAGGGGTCAGACAAGACGTCCTGGACAAGGTGCTATGGAGCTGAGTCTGAAGGAAAGAATAAATGACATTTTGGGGACTTATGAGGAATGGACAGTGGGAGTAGTACATACAGAACCGGGGAGGCGGGAAGCAGTGCATGGCCTTGCAGAAGCCATAGAACTAGAGGCAGTCTGGCTGAGGAGAAAGAGCCTGGGCTGGCTGCAAGTCAGGACTGGGTCTGGGGCAATTGGCTTCACCTGTTGGTGCCTATGAGCTCATTTAAAAGTAGAAACTTCAGCAAGGTTGTTGCAGAGATTACATAAAGGGGCTAACTAGTGCTTAGCTCCTGGTAAATGGTGGCAGCTTCTCAGTAAATGGTATCCCTCTGGCCCCTGGGCCCTCTACCAGAAGTTGGGGTGTTGGGTGGGGGAGCATTTCAGGAGATGCAGCTGGAAAGGTGAGTGTGACCAAATCACAAAAGGTGTTTTGGGGGGCATCACACACAGTCTCCTGTGGGGAATGCAGTGAACTTATGGACTGACTTGTGGGACTTTACAACCCCCTTGACATTCACCTGTGGCTCCTGTAGGAGATGAAGCTCCCTTTGATGGACAAGGGGAGCCATCACAGGGCTTGAAGCAGAAGGCTGGCGGGATCCAACTCCCAGTTCTGAGCTATTGCTGTGTGGGTGACCTTGGGAAAGAGCAGAAGAAGAGGGTGTCCAGAGGCAGGCAGCTGTAGAAACATGGGGGCAGATAAGACATGGGGGTAGGAACAGAGAAGAGGGAAATTATTTTAGAGCGAGTAAAATTGGAGTATTTCAGGAGTAACACTGGATGGGATTTTATGTCAGGACAGAGTTTAACTTTGGGCTTCAGGTTTCTGGTCACCCAGTGCCATGAACCAGGACAGAGAATGCAGGCACAGGAGCAGTTTGTGGGGGAGGGAACATGATGCTCTCACTTGAGACACGATGAGTCTGGGCTTGCTGTGACTGCCTAGGTCTGGAGCTCAGGGCAGAGGTTTGTGGGGCTGGTTTGGGTAGAGATCTGGGACTCTTCAGGGGGCAGAGGGACATATGGGTGAAGTGACTCAGAGAGTGTTGAGTATGAGGAAACAGAGGGCAGAGCTCTGGGGAACCCCTTTATTTGGGGAGCTCATGTGGGGGCAGAAAAAAAGCAGTCCTGGCTGGAGGGGAAGGTGAGGGTTCATAGGAAGAGGAGAACTAAGAGAGTGATCCCATGGGGCCAGCGAAGGAGAGCACTGCCAAAAGGCAGAAGTCCAGAGTGCCAGATGCAGTAAAGAGAGCAAGAGAGGTGAGGCAGAGGGGTTTACTGGGCTTACTGAGTGGTACATAGTCATGGGGTGCAGGGCTCATTGCATGGGGAGCAAGTGTAGGCTCACTGGAGTGGTTAGTCCTGAATCCAGCTGTGTGAGGCTGAGCAATGAAGGGTTAGGGAATTGGCGTTGGTAAGAGCACAGCCTTGCGTGTGTGTGTATGTGTGTGTGTTTGAGTGTGTAAGAAGGGAAGAGAGAGATCACCGTAGCCATGTATTATGTCGGGGAGTAACTGCTGAATAATGTCCCCACATCTTCACTTAGTAGTTTGTTTGCTTTTAGAAGAAATCTCGTCCAGTCCATTGTGCGGAAAGTGGCCTCAGGACAGTGGCGCGTGAACAGGAGGAATGGAATGCCCGCATTCTGTCGTCCCCTGGAAGTGGCAGCGAGGCAGGGACGGCACCCGTGGGCTGCTACCTGGAGCAGAGGGGAGATGCCTGTGCCGAGCCGCATGACTACTTCAATGTCCTGAGTTACAGGAGCCTTGGAAGCTTCGGTTTCCTGGCCGAGACTGTTTAGTGGCCAGAGGCATCATCTGGGAGATGCATTCTTGTGTCTGCGGTTCCGGGAGTGGGGGTGGTGGTGGGTCTGTGGTCTCAGTGCCCTGCATGCACGCGAGTGGAGGTGCAGTTGAGTGAATGAATGTCATCCTCTTCTCTGCATTTCCTCTGCCCCTTCCGTTCTCTTCCATTGTGGCAGAGCCAGAGGGAGCAGCTTGTATCTTGATTCTGAGTGCAAAGTTAAACAAAAATGACTTGGTTTGGAATCTAGCAGGTGGAGCCAACCCTGGGGCTCTGAGAAATGCCTTCCCCCAGTAGCCCTGGATGGGGTTTTGGTGGTCTGGGCACTGGCAGAGTCTTATGGATGGTGATGGTGATGAAGAGGACGACGGTATTACTCATCTCATTTCTCATGGTCATTTCCATCAACATTTACACATTCAAGGCATTTTAAGAAAAAGGCATGGTATCGGCTTTCATGGGGAGGTTCGAGCATGATTAAACCACGCTTTTGGATCTCAGCCCTTTTAGACCTTACACTTACATGGGGGTAATGACATTTCCCTTAAAAGTAGTAAGAAGACAGGGGTATGAGACCCAGACCTTTGGGAAGAAATGCTGGTGCAGGCTGAGGTGGTCAGTATAGGCTTATCTGGGGTGAAGTGGCCTGGGAGGATGGAGGGAACAGTGAGGCTAGCATGGCGAGAGCAGGAATTTTGTCTAAGGTGAGCCAAGAAACTGAACAGAACGGCTGAAATTCCCACATGGAGGATCCCAGCACCAAGGGAGCGCACAGACCTTTTTTGGATTTTATTCCTCGGGCAGATAGTTGAAGTCTCCTTCTGCTGGCTGTTCTTGGAGTCCGGGGATGGCTGGCAGCAGGGGACCCGAGGCCTTCCAGATGCCTGCCAGGGATGTGTGCAGCAGCACGGCCTCCACTGTGGGAGCTGCAGCTTAGTCCTTGGCCAGGACCCACCACCTTTCCCCTATCAATCCACTATGGAGTGGATTCTTTCCGGGAGGAAAGAATCTGTGTCCCACCAAAAGGAAAACATGGATTTTTAAAATAGGGACTCTTCCAGGGGGAGGGAATAAAAAGCGGGTGATCGGGTGCTTAAAGATGAACACCCTCTCCCCAGATATTCTGAACCCGTAAATCTGAACCTAAACCCTTAAAAGCCTTAAACCCTTTAATCCACCCCCTGAGCTCTTCGTGCTGGGGTTTGGATGGCATCTCAGCCCTGGTTTCCCTTTAACTGGCATCCTGGTCTGCATCACGCCACCACATCTCCTCCAGGAGCGAGGATGGAGGCCGAGCTCACACGGGACAGGTTTTCTTAGCTGAGCGAGAAAGTGAAGCGAGGCTGTCATTGGCCAGGGCTGGGATCAAGCACCGTTCTGCTCCCTAGGAATCAGGCAGGCTGAGCAAGAAGACATTTCAACTCCTTGCAGAACTAGTGCAAACTGCTTGTGAGTAGAACACAATTCATGGACTGGAGATGAGCTAAAATGTAGATAAAAAGAGAAAGGCAGTTTGATTGGGAGGAGATGTCTACTGAGTCAAGGCTAGACTGAGAGTGTTATTTAACGTGGTGACAGTAACTGGGAAATACCTACAAATACCATTTAGATGGTGATAAAAGTACAAAAGGACCCATGGATGTTATAAATGGGTCAGGTTCCTAAAATGAGATTGAATTAGACAGAAAATTAATTTTCAAGTGGAATTCACTGAACTGGATTTTCCATGGAGAACCAGAGAAGACCACCCCCTAAAAGCCAGGTTCCTGGAGACCCGTCCTTTGTAGCCATCCTCCACGGGTAGCTGTCTAGTGTGTGAGATGTGGTTAGTCTGTATTAAGATGTACTGTACTATAATGTAACATACATACCAGATTTTGAAGACTTATTGTGAATAATAAGAATGTAAACTATGATGTTAGTAATTTAAAAATATTGATAACATGTTAAAATGATAGTATTTGGGATATACTGGACTCAATAAAATGTTTTTAAAATTAATTTCATCAATTTCTTTTTACTTTGTTCCTATGGCTACTGGAAAAATCTAAAATTGCATATGTGGCTCCTGTTACCTTTTTTTTGGACCATGCTTCATTAGACCCTAAACCCAAGCCAAGCAGGCACCAGGGACAGGTGTCTATCTCTGACTGGTGGTCTTTCTCTTTTTTTCTGATCCATAATAGGGTTTGAGGAGGCTTTTCCCTCTTATTATGGAGGGAAAACACGTAGGAAAGGATTTTCCTTTTGAAAACACGTAGGAAAAACGTGTTTTGAAAACACGTTGTGAAAAACACGTAGGAAAGGATTACGGGGGAGATGGAGGTGGGAGAGTGTTAAGTGCACATAGGGAGTGATCCCAAGCTCTCTTGGAAGGGGAGAATAAATGAATTAATGAGTGAGAGTTTGGGGAGGAATAAATATACCGATTCTCAATCTTTTATTATGTCACATTTGAAGCCTGAGCATATAGAATCTGGTCTACAATGCAGAGAATTACCCTGAACAAATATGATAAATTTTGAGTCATGGAGCTTTGAGATAGATGATCTTCATGAGTAGACAGGGTCTTCCTGTGCAATTTTAATTTTGCTCGTTCCTTCTCACCTGTGGGTTCTTGGAGATGCATCATCACATACTCAGATTTCTACAGATCCCATCAGTGCTGAGCTGGACAGGCATGACATGACATGACTACTGTATTAGACATCACAATTCTAGTAATTCCCTTGCATATGGAGAAAACGCAGAAGAGGTATGTTTACAAGCCATTGGATGGGTCTACAGCTGCTGTGCATTTGAAAGGGCTACCACCAGGAATAAACATGGCAGTCCTCTTCTATTCTCCTGTGTCTTCCTTTTTTTCCCCCCCTGTGTTCTTCCTATGATCAAAACAAAGCAGGAGGCCAAAAGCAGGCTGTGCGTTTGTTTATTTCAGAGTCTTCCCAAAAGGTATCTGAGGTACCTATATTTTAAAATTTTGTGTTTGAAATGCGATAAATTTTTAAGTGGTCAAACTTATCCTAGATAGTGATGACTTTTTAAAAACAGGGTATTGTCATTGCCTTCAGTCTCCATATTTGTGTTTACTATTAAGTTGATCTCAAGACCCAGAGATGATTCATTTGCTCCAGGAGGATGGAATAGTCAAAGATTTTGCGGTAGCTGAAACAGTAGGAAAGTGGAAGGAGAGTTGTCTTTACTTTGCACACTATAGGGATGCCGTCCGCAGAAGGATGTGGGCCAAAGCAGCCAGTCCACCCAACCTTGTGAGCAGCAAAGCATCATCCAACAAATGAAATTGTTATTTTAAATCATTAAAATAAATGATCCATCAAGATGCTGTTCGGGTTCACAAAAATCAGATACAGGCAAACCTCGCATCATGAAATGTTTGCTTTTTAAAAATTTTCTACTTCCTAGAATATCGGGAGAACTTACGGGCTCAGTAACTGAGTTGCAAGAAGTCAATATTTAAATTCACAGAGGTCGCCTTTCAGCCCAGAGTTCTCCTTAAGACTATCCCCATCTCCCAGGCCCCAGCCCAGGCATCTGTGCTCCTCACCTAGGCGGGAATGTCCCTCCACACTCGCCTCCTCCAACCCAAAGCCTGCAAGTCTTTGGGAGTCCCCAAAGTCAACTGCTTATTCCTTGGACCCTTCTCTGACATACCCTACCCATGTATCTTTCTGTTAGTTTATGAACTTCCGTAGCACTGACAGTCTGAATAGAACCACCTAGCTTTTGATCTTATAGGAATCTTTATTCCTAGTTGTTAGATTTCAAGGCTTACCAGTGTTAAAGTAGTTTTCTTCATTCCCTTCACAGACTGCACAATGATGAGTGAATATAGGTGCCTACTGAAGACTTGGTGAATTTACTTCAGTCGGGTTGACTGCCCTAGGGACAAATAAGATGTATGTTTTCTCTATCTCGCCAGTAATTTCTTTGAGGATCATGAGGTTAGATAGCTTTTTTGGGTAGGGCTGCATATGAGAAAAGGACTATGGGGCAGATAGGAGCCTCTTGGGGGTTCCCCAAAGTCATCAAATGGGGACATCTTTTGAGCCGTGAGCTTTCCTTGGATATAAGGGTAGAAGGGTGTAGTGTCACATGATTATTTCCACAGGAGGCAAATAGATACTGGTTTGCACATGGGAAGGAGAAAAAAAGAAGTGACTCAATTTAGACGGTAGTAAATGAGCCATAGGATCACATGTGAGTTTTGGGCAGGGGGATATTTGCCTTATGTATCCTAAAGTGATTTCAATATCAGCAATTCTGGGATTCTTATGTCTTGTATCAAGAGGGCTGATGTGTTGAGAATTTCTCTGGCCTTTAAAGTATAATCCTTAATTTGGATCTCTCCACCTAGACCTTGATCACAGGGTATGAGAGAATGTGAAAGACCATCTGGAACAGAAGCCTTGCCACAATGTAAAGAAGACGCAATACAAAACCCAGAGAAGATTTTTTTTTTTTAATTATTCCTTCATATTCAAACTTCACAAACAGTGTGAACTTGTACAATACCTCGGAAAGTGAAACTTACAAAAAAAGTGCTGGTAACATTTAAAAAAAAACAACAAAAACCCCAAAAAACAAACATCATTCTTAGCAACATCAATTACTCTTCCACACAAAACAGAAACCTTGTAAAATTTATTTTCGTATTTTTAAGGCGTAATACTTCCGTATAAAGTATATGCAAGAGATAAAACTTCACAGTATTCCAAAATGTCACAATAATAATAATAATATAATAGTATAATGAAGCGCTACAGTTAATTTTTCTTTTTTTGAATGTTTTTTTTCCTGTTTAAATAACAAATACAAGTCACAGGTAAATATACGTGAGAAAAATACGAGGCTAATATTAAATGGCAGGTAAGGATACTGTCACTGTAAGAAAAACTGGCAGGATGTGTGTATTTAGTCTATATTTTAAAGCACTTGATAGAAAAGGCGTATGCAAGGTTTTTCAAAACAACTTTTTGTTTGTTTGATAACTGACAACAATTTTAAGAGTATAATGAGAAAAAAAAAAAAAAAGGAACAAACTCCCTCTCAAAACTATTGACCTGCTCATCCCAAACCACGCATATACTGATGGATGGATGGATGTGTGTGTTTCTGTATACATGGGTTTATAGGGGACAC